TGAAAGTGCATAAGGGAGAGGAGCTTGTTACCCCTTCTCCCCAGCGGCAGCTTAGCCCATCAAGTGCAGATGGGACCATGGTCTCTGCGTCCAAGCTACAGGGAGTACGGACAGTCGGTCCTGCTCCCCAGCGGCAGCCTAGCCCACCAAGTGCAGATGGGACTGTATTCCCCACACTGGTGCAGATGGGACTGTATTCTCTGTGCCCAAACCACAGGGGGTAGGGACGGTCGGTCCTGTCCCCCAGCAACAGGGCTGTTTACCCAAAGGGGAGACAGTCGGTCTCCCCCCACAGCAGCATGGTGCTTTGTCCAAAGGGGAGACAATCGGTCTCACCTTCCAGCAGCACAGCTATGTATCCAAAGGTGAGACAGTCGGTCTCCCCCTCCAGCAACCAGGCTCCCACCAGGCTACTTCTGTGGTAATGCTGGCATCAGGGCAGAGTACAGCTGGTCTATGCCCACCTTGCAACCCACCAATTCAGCATACCAGTCCCCCACATAGCTGTAGTGAGGCACCTGGATATGGACAACTTTTCCCCGTACTTAGGTGTAGTAACCATTTATTGTGGGTGGGCTGTACTACTAATTGTGTTTTATGGGTGGGTTGCTGGACTAACCAAGGCACTGACCGGCAGGAGGTCAGATACCCTGTTAGTCTGTTTGGAAAAGGGGAGAGATGTGACGAGAGCAATCTCGCCACTGTGCATTGGAGGAGCCTGGTTGCCCACCTGCTGCCTTTAGACTATGGCCCCATGTTTAAAGGCTTGATTTTCCCTTGCAAAGACACGAAAGCCGGGTCATTCGTTGCTTGCCCTGTTTGAGCGGTGATACCCCAGATAGCTATGCCATGGAGCCCATTTGTATAATGAAAGACTATGGGAAAGACTTTGGCTCCATGGCAATTGAACTGTATGTAGGTGATCTGAGTGCCATTCAGTAATAATGTGCGCTCAGATCTAAGCTATCTGTTTTGTGCCTGTTTTATGCAATAGCTGTGCAATAGCTGTACAGTTATATATTTTTATGTATTTTATTGTCTTTTGCTACCATGTGTTCAATGGAGTTTTGCCTCTGTCCTTGGAGATAATTGGATGACTTCCCAATTATCTCCAGGATAGAGGACTCTGTGGAACTGGTTTGGGCTGGAAAAGCCATGCTTCAGTGGTCACAAAGGACTTTCGACCTAACTTTTGAACCACTGGACCAATTTGAATGATTTTTGAGTATATTTATATTTGAAGGACGCTGATTTCAAATATGTAACAATTAATTAATATTTATTAATATTGCATGCATACTTTTAAAGTTATAAGAATTGTGTAAAAACTGTATATTTTCTGCCTGTGCTAATTAAGTTAGTCTATTGTCTTGAGATAATTGTATTACAGGCAGAGGGGAGGATTTCTGCTGGGAGTGGTTTACTTTATTGTATGTGTTGTAATGTTTTTATTGGTTGTTCTGAAAAACCCTGTGGGCAGTTCTGTATGTGTTAAACCTGCATAAAAGAAGGTCCTTTGGTGCCAAGTAAAACAGTTCTACTTCACCCTCAATTTGGAGTGCCGTCTCTTATTGGGGGAATCTGCTACAATCTGCTACAAGGGATTGCTATGCTCTGAATACTCTCTTGCTATATGCACTGCTAAGCTCTTGTAAGAGCTTGTTCCTGTCCTGCTCTCTGAAGGAGTCCACGGTGGCTGGAGTGCTTGGAGCCCTCAGGAAGCACTAGGAGCATCCTTCAATGGAGGTACCCAGTCGGGGTGCCCGTCGATCCGTTACAGGATGAATACGTGACATTACCCCGCACTTGAACGCCCACCGGGTGGGCAGGACCAGGCTTGAGAGGAAATTTGGCGTGAAAATAGCGGATCTTGCATGTATATCAGATGCCGAAACCCAAGAACCGATCGGCTGGTCCATAACCTTTCCAATCCACCAAGTACTGTAAAGTGCCCCGAGAAAACCTGGAATCAATTATGGAGGAGACCTCATACTCTTCCTATCCAGAAACAACTAAGGGAGGAGGAGGGACACTTGAGACAGTATATTTATTGCAAACAAGAGGTTTGAGCAAGGACACATGAAAGGTATTAGGAATTTTCAAGGAGGCCAGAAGGGCCAGAGAGTACGCAACAGTCGATCCTACGAAGTACACGAAAAGGTCCAAGGAACCTAGGAGCAAATTTCATGCTAGGGGTGTCAGGATGTATCAATATGTCAACGGAGGCAAACCGCTGTTTGAGAGTTTCAAAGGCTTCAATTG